TCTATCTATCTATTATAATTTTTAAGATATAAGGCAAAAACGCAAAAATTTGGTAAAAATCATCATCAAAGGGCAATAACTCTAATAAGGAGTCAACTGACGATTTCGACCATGTAGACTTTTTGTAGAACTTGTCTTGCTGATCATTTTTGCAATTTAAAGTTTCTCTCTTTCTATTATAGTTTTCAAGATAATAGGCAAAAATGAAAAAAATGGTAAAATTTGTCATTTAAGGGCAATAACTCCTATAAGAAGTGGACAATTGGTAGAGCTCAACATTCTGAACATTTTTGCTTTCTGTCATACATTCTCTATTTAAAACGGTCAAAATAATAGACAAAACTTGTATTTTACCCCTATGTTCTATATTTAGCCATGTCGGCCATCTTGGTTGGCAGGCAGGGTCATCGGACACCTTTTTTAAAACTAGATACCCTAATGATGATTGTGGCCAAGTTTGGTTAAACTTGGCCAAGTAGTTTCAGAGGAGAAGATTTCTGTAAAAGTTAACAACGACGCCAAGTGATGAGAAAAGCTCACTTGGCCCTTTGGGCTAGGTGAGTTAAAAATATAACAGCAAATCACTATGTTATTCTGAACTTAAAACTTCAAAGCTTGTTGTCTGGATATTTGTTTATTATAATTAGAAAATCTCACCTGCAGGGAATAAAGGCAAAAGTGATACCTTATTTAGTATGTTATAATAATTCAAGGTTTATAATCAGAAAAATAATATTAAACATTTCTTTTTAAATATGAAATTGCCACTATTTAACAATTCCTACTGTGTCATCATTTTCTTTACTGTATCAAACTGCTACTTAAGCTTTTGGAGAAATAAGTCAAGGTTTGCCATAAAATATGTTATTATACCTTTTACCAAATTACGGTACTGATTCATTAAATTGCCATTATAATTCATCAATGTACTGATATCCTTAATCTACTTTGAATGGCTTGAGGATCATCACATATGTGTGTTGGGTTAACGTATTTCATCTCCTCAAAAAATTGAATGTCTTTCTCAAGTCTCATACACTACTCTGAATAACCAGAGCAACTAATGATGGCATATGTTTTAGTTCTTGTGGTTAATAACATGTTACACAAACTTACTTGTTTTTGACATTGGGACCCTTTAAGAAAATGACTACAATATTTTGTAGTCCCCAATGAAGCCTTTAACGTCCGTCCATCGATATGTACGTTATTGACAGACAGTATAGCCTTTAAAGCATCCTCAGCTTTGTTGTATGCACTAGCACTAGGACCCTGTAAAAACGGATAAAAATTTAGCAAATTTTTTAACTTGCAAAGACATGAAAGTTAAAAGTCAGTTGTACCCCACATCTACTTACTACCTTATTAATTTAGTAATAAAATTTAAATCTTAATGTGGTAAGTACTTGGTTTGTACTGAAAAGACTACAGTTATCTGTTTGTTATCAGCTGAAAGTTAGTCCACATAGTCAGTAGGGTGTCGTACATGCCTTGCCTGGCCAATAGAATAAAGTCCAATCAAATTTTTTTATTCATTTTCAACACACTAATAACCAGTATTGATTATTTTTCTTGACAGGTCAATAAAGGAAATGGAGAGATCACCTGGTTGGTCACAAGACTTAAGGTATGCAAAGTTTAATAAAAAAAACTTATTGAAGATAATGTTTTTTCTAATTTGATTAAAAAGATACCTCACATTGTAAGGACTTTTGATTTTTTCATCTTTTATCTACAGGGTTCAATCTGTAAAGTGTAGTATGAAGCTTCATGTTCATCTAGAGCTTTAGTGTGTCCTAATTATAAGGGAGTGTGGATGTTACCTGTGCTCCAGCATATGATGTGCTTTGGTTTATCTCAACTTTATGAATCTTTCCAATCTTTCCAAAATACCCCTGTTTCTTTAATGTTTCCGTCTCTGTAATTTTTTAGACAAACCAACAACAAACACTAGATTTTTCTGTACAACTCTGAAAAAAAAAGAATAATTCCTTGGGGCATGAATATCGAATTCTGTTAATTTATTTGGTTGTAATTTTATGTCCATTCCCTTTAGTTTTCTACACACATACATTTTCCAAATACAATTTTGTTGGTATCATTCAGTAACAGAAAATAATATCTTACATAACTTGAAAGTAAGCTTTAAAGTTTTACACATGTATATTAAAAATTCGTAAGGGTTTCCGCGGCACACTGTGTCTCACCTACAATTGATGCTGTCAGTGTAAAATTGTAATGTTGACTTAAAAAGTGAGTCCAATTATCAGTAAAATACAGAATTTAAAAAAAAAATTCAAACTTTCTCTTTAGATGCTAGATTTCTTGGTCTTGAAGATTAGCTTCTGTCAAAGTTTAATAACAATCCATGAAGGTTAACAAACTTATCATGTCAAAAAAATTTAATCCCAGACTGTCTTCTGTAAAAGTCCATCAATCAGAAAAATACTGAAAATGAAAATATATTTTCAAAAGTTTGCTTCAGACATTATCTCTTAATCCTAAAACGTTTCATAAAATTCTATGAAAGTTTGACAAAGTATTTGATGTGTGACAAACTTTAACCCCAGACGGTATCTACTTGTTAAATGTGTAAAAAATAAGTCCATTTATCAGTAAAATACGGGAAAATGAAAATAAATATTTTCAAAATTTTGCTCTGGATACTGTACTTGGTCATTAACAAGCTTTTGTCCAAATTTCAAAAAAATCCATGAAGGTTTGACAAAGTCAGTCAGACTGAATATGAATGTTAACTTAAAAAAAAACTAAGCCCTTTTATCAGTAAAATATGGAAAAATGAAAATATTTTCCAAATTTTGCTCTGGATACTGTATTTTGGTCATAAACAAGCTTCTGTCCAAATTTCATGAAATTCCATGATGGTTTGACGAATTTATTGATGTCTAAAAAAAACTTTTAACCACAGACTGAACCTAAATGTTGATGCCGCCGACGACGGAATGTCGCAGGCTCGACAAAAATCAAAATACATTGCTTTAAATATGCCTGATGTACAATATATTGCTGAGGTAATTGGTCTTCAATTTAATGAAGAAGCTTACATTTTTATTCATCACATATCTCACTAGGTAGGGGTAATTCAGAATAACAGGTGACTTAATCATTTGTAATAAAAGAACAGAGTTCCAATGTCCCCCGCGTTGCACATATTTTATCTATCCAAGGATCAAGGGCAATAACTACAAAATACACTTTTTTTTTGTTCTCTAAAACTTTAAAAATATCTTAGAGAAATGAATGCTTCCGAGCAAATATTCAATGTGATTTCCAATATAATTAATATTTCCAAAGGGCATAACTCGCTAAAAATATTTGATCAGTACTTCTTTTCGAAAGTGTCAAAGACATAGCTGATATAAACCTATGATATAAATTTCATAAAAATCTGGCAAGAATTGTACACATGAGTGCTCACAAGGCAATTTCCCATATAATTAATATTTCCAAGAGCATAACTCTTTGAAAAATAATTGATAAGCTTCGAGAGAGTTGCGGCCCCTAACTAAGGTAACGGGTCTGTGGGTAGCTCAGCAAAAAAATTAGTTTTTAGGTAACATTTCTCCTAGAATATTGAAAGTAGAATTTTGAAATAGGAATGAGTACATACATTGATGACTGTTCACTTGTAAAATTGCATTGCAATCTTAAAACTACAAAGATATCTTGGTAAACATGACCAAATCAGACACCCAAGAAGAATCCAATATGGCGTCGTATGCCGAAGCGATTAAAAGAGCTAAATCTGAAAAATCTGACTCTCTGTTCTTGGTAAAACCAGTGTTTGTAGAAGAATCAGATGTCTTTAGTCATCTCCCCAAAGCAGCTACTAAAAATTTATTTATAACCATCACTGAAATGTACCAGGCTGTAGGTGCAGTCGTGCCAGATAGATCAGTAATGGGCCTACAGAGAATAAAAGGTCTATGGAGAATTTATCTCGATACTGAAAAAGACAAAGAATGTCTACTCTCAGATAGTCTTGAAGTTCGAGGCAAATCCTTCTCTATATACTCTAGAAATCCAAGAGTTCGCATACAAGAAAATTCAACAGATGTGAAAATTTGTATTAAAGATGTAACCCTCTCGGCTGATGATGAACAGATTTTGAGAGCCTTAGAGGGGTACAATTGTGTAATTTTGAAGCACTTAAGAGAAAGATTACTCTACGAAGGCATGATAACGAACTGTCAAACCGGTGACACAATAGTCTACTGTGAAGGACCATTGATCTCTGCTATTCCAAGGTCTATTCCAAGTGGGAAATACAGAGCAACAGTTATTTACAGAGGTCAACAAAATGACAACATTAAATGCAGCAAGTGCATGGAACGTGGACACAAAACCAAAGATTGTGAAAATGATTGGAAGTGTAGAAACTGTGGTGAATCAGGCCACAGTCAAAATGAATGCACTAGTGAAATATTTACTGAGCAGGATCAAGAAGGCGCTTCGAGCATACATCATGAAGATCTTTACGAGCCGGGCGATGATAACATACAACCGCAAACAGACAATAATGAGAACATAGAAGCTATGCAACTAGCAGAAAATGTAGCACATGCAGAAAATGAATCTGCTTCAAATACAGTCGCACACGATGATTCAATAAATACACAATCAATCTTGACTGAGAACCTGAGCTCGAGCCCTATAAGTAAACAACAAAATGATTTACCTCCGGCAGCCAGACCGAAAATAAAACCAGCTCGCAGGGAAACGAATAAACATAAAATCAAGTGAAGCTACCAACAGAAATTTCCGTTGTCAATCACAAATCACCAGTTTCATTTCAGGTCCAAATCAGTCTCTACGTAGAAACCAACATCAAGAGACTCCAGTCAAAACAACAATCAGTGGTTTAGAGAAGTCTCCAGTGACTCCTACAGAGAAGCTACATGACGGTGCCAGTAACAACACAAGTAAAAGATAAAAAACAACAAAAACCTAGTTTCTGTAACGATCATTGAAATTAACACTAAACGACGTAGATTTTTTATCATATAACAAAAAGAAAAAAAATGTCACTGTACATAATTCTTTTCATTTTTCTTTTCTCATTGCCTGTATATTTTTAGAAAGTCGTCCACTTTATTCAAATTTTCTCTGGGTTAAAAAGTAAAGAAACTGTAACATACAAAACGTTTAATTGGCACCAAAACTGCTTTTATCAAAGAATCATTATCAAGCAAACTGTTAAATGTTTCTTATAAAGCTACATTGATAAAAATCCAGTTTTCATTGATCTGGTGACATTCCATCATTCAAAACCAGTCAGAGCTGTCTTCTTATCCTAGAAATAAAAATAGATTACTTTTACGGCTCAGGAAAAATACAACTAATTTATCAACATTGACATCATCACCTTGTACCAAGTGTACAATTAATTTAAAGATGGATAAGCGCATATGTATGTATATAAATATTGTTATTTTTTTTGTGACTTTATTTGAATATGTATTTATGTATGTATATAAATATTGTTCTTTTTTTAAAACTTGATTTGAATATGTATTTCATTATGAAACGCATATATAATTTTATTTTATTTGTTCAAAAAACATTGAGTGTGCTCAAATATGTACTCAAATTATGATGCACATGTCAACGTTTGTATTTGAAGTCACATGGATGACCCAAATAATGACCCATGGGGTAAAAGAAAACAATAGATTTTACTTATTTTTGAATGTAACTTGTAATTGTATGTTTTTAACAGAAACAAACTATGCTAACACTTTACTTGTGGACACATGTTTAACCACTAAAACGAAATATGTAGGATGGCTATTTCATCCTTTTTGCGAAAGGACTGTAAATACGAATACAGGTAAAAAATTAACACTGTTTAATAGTAAAAATTGTAATGATTATAAAAGAGAAACAATTTGGGTTTCAAATATAAAAGAATAATAAATAGCTTATGCCTATTTATAAGACAAAGTACAAGTCGATTTATAGATAAATGTCCTTCTAGAACCAGGAATAGTGATAAAATAAAACAACTGAAAAGATGTCTATTTATAGTCTCGAGGTCTGTGAAGGTCAACTTAAGTGTGACCTAATTGTTATCACTCAACGGGGATTTACCTATGTTTACTTTATACACATAAAAGCGTAATAGGTGTTACAAATAAATTAAATACTCACCAACTATGGTATTAAACAAACATCTTCATATCTGTACAGTTAATTGTAAAGGCCTACATCAACCTGATAAAAGAAAAAGATTGATTGAATGGTCAAAATCCCAAAAATGTGACATTCTTCTCATGCAAGAAACACACTTTACATATGATTTGATAAACAATTTAAACACTGAATTTGAAGGCAAACTTTTACTAAGTAATGGTTCAAGCAACTCAAGAGGTATTGCCATATGGCTGAAAAAAAATCTAAACTTTAAAATTATTGATGACTATAAAGATAAAGAAGTAAGACTTTTACTTGTTAATATTGAAATAAATGACACTATAATAACAACAGTTAATATTTATGCACCAAATAATCCAAAAAGCAGAAATATCTTTTTTAAAAATGTCCATGCACTAATAGAAGAAAAAAGTTTGGGTCAACTTATTAAGGAGGAGATCATAATGAAATTTTATCTAGAGTAAAAAAAAGAGTAAAACTAAGCAACAACAAAAAAAGAAAAAAAGTTCACAACTTAGATAAACTTATAAAGTCCCTAAAGCTCAATGATGTGTGGAGAATCAGAAATCCAAATAAAATTCAATTTACATGGAGCAGAAAAGACAGATCCGAGTCAAGAAGAATAGATTACTTTTTAATAGCTCCTGGAGTATTCAAAAACTGTGTTTCATGTGCTATTAGACCAATAGTATTACAATACACAGATCACAACTGTGTTTTTTTAAAAATCAATCTAAACAGAGGCCAAAAAGGAAGAGAATACTGGAAACTAAACAGAAGTGTACTTCAAAGTGAAGACTATGTTGAAATAATTAGGAAAATAATTAAAAAATTTAAAAACAAAGCAAAAATGAGAACTGACCATGACACACTGTGGGACAATTTCAAAATTGAAGTTAGAGACCTGACAATAAGCTATTGCAAAACAAAAGCTACGAATAAAAAAAACCAAATCAGCAAGTTGGAAAAAAAAATTAACAGAATTAAATAGTATTATAGACACATGCAATGATAAAAACAATAATAGATATAGGAAGATGTGGTATGAGTGCCAATGAGACAACTCTCCATCCAAGTTACAATTTATAAAAGTAAACCATTATAGGTCAAGGTACGGCCTTCAACACGGAGCATTGGCTCACACCGAACAGCAAGCTATAAAGGGCCCCAAAAAATGACTAGTGTAAAACCATTCAAAAGGAAGAACCAACGGTCTAATCTATATAAAAACGAGAAACAGGAAACACGTATGAACTACATAAACAGACGACAACTACTGTAATCAGATTCCTGACTTAGGACAGGTGCAAACATTTGCAGCGGGATTAAACGTTTTAATGGTACCAAACCTTCTCCCTTTTCTGAAACAATAGTATAACATCACAAAATAGAAAAACACACTATAAAATATCAATTGGAAGGCTTAACTCAATCAAAAAACGTAAATTAACACACAATGAACGAATAAATTTGACCTGTGACACCTGAATGCAAATACACAGTTAATAAAAAATTACAAGGGATAAATAATCAAAGTCCAAAGTAAATAAACAGGTTTAAACAAAGTTAAAGTATGATATCACTGTGAAATTTCAAACAATTTATAGAAAATCATCACTTTTGAAGAAACCTGCGTCATATTATACACAGGTAAATGAAAATAATTTTGTTGTTAAGTATATTTCGTCTTGTGTGTGTATAAAATCTTCCGTTTAGGAATACCAAGGAATTTCTTTAAATAACATATTAAAGGAAATAGATAATATAGAAAATGAAATATGAAAACTCTATAATGAAAACATAAAAGGTAATCAAATTAGGGCACGGGTAAAATAGGTTGAAGAGGGAGAAAAAAAATTCAGCATATTTTCTAGGGATGGAAAAATCTAGGCAGAGTAGAAAAACAATAACCCAACTATATGATGATAAAGGTCAAGTTACAAGAGATCAAGACAAAATATTAAAATTAGAAGCAAATGATTATAAACATTTGTACTCTACAAAAAATCCTGAGATAGAAGAAACAAAAAAATATTTAGATTCTCTCAAGTAATATAAGAAATTAAATGACTGTGAAAGTAATACTTGTGAAGGGGAAATAACTGTTGATGAATGCACTGATGCAATTCTTAAAATGAAACTTAACAAAGCGTCTGGGCTTGACGGATTAAATGTGGAATTTTACAGAGAATTCTGGGATGAACTTAAAACTTTTATAGTCTCTACTTTTAATTACTGCTATGAAAAAGGAGAACTATCTAACACTCAGAAAGTTGGCTTAATATCCTTAATTTATAAGAAAAATGACCCTTTATCACTAGACAATTATAGACCTATTACTCTTTTAAACTATGATGCAAAATTACTTGCTTATGCCTTAGCACAAAGATTAAAACCTCTGCTACCAAAGATTATACACACTGACCAAAAAGGATATGTCAAAAATAGGTATATTGGTTTTAATATTCGACAAATACAAGATGTCATTGATTACTCTGAAACTTTCAAAATAGATGGGGCAATTTTATTCCTTGATTTTACAAAAGCGGTTGACTCATTAGAACGGGACTTCATGTTTGGGACTTTAAAGAAATTTGGCTTTAAAAATAATTTCATCAGGTGGGTTCAGACAATGTACTCTGATATTAAAGGATGCATTATTAATAATGGATGGGATTCTGCCCGTTTCAGGGCATCTGTCTTGGTGTGTATTTTGGCTTATATTTTTGTTAGTGTAATTTTGTATAAAAGTGTGTTTTATTTTAGAAAGAAAATTTTGTGTTTGTATTTTGTAAAATTTTGAATTAATTTTTGTTTAATTAATTTTACCTATGTTGTGGCAAGTACTCGACATGTCACAGTTTGCTCAAAGTAATTTGGTTTGAAATATTAATTGCAATTAGCATGTCACTAGGATATTTTAAGTTTTTATCAAAACATGAAGGGGTTATGCTTTGTTTGATTATATTCTATTTTGCTACTGAGAGTACTATTTACATATCGTGTCATGTTGATTAGTTTTTGGTTTAAGTATAAATAGCGTTGTGAAATATAGGAAAAGCAGTCATCTTTTCGGAAACCTAAACTTACACTGCTAAAGTCTATTATACTGGATCTGTTAGGCTTTCGATCAGTCAACCAGTTGACTGTGTAGTGTTGAGACAAAAAATTATCTTTGACTCACATTTTATTTTTGCGAAATGTTTTGGAAAGCAGTCAGTGTTTCGGAACAGTAACCTCTCGCTACTCATGTCATTATACTGGACCTACAAGACTGTCTACCAGTCTACCAGTTGACGGTGTAGTGTTGAGACAAAATTTATCTCTGACTCACATTTTTACTTTGGCAATTTCTATTTGAGAATTATTATATTTTTTGAGACTTTTACAATTTGATTTTGAAATTAAATTCATTTTATGATTAAGTAGTTTTGGCATTTATTTTATATTTTACATTGTAAAGAGAATTAGTTTTACTTTGGATTTGATATTTAGATTTGATACTTTGTACTTTAATTAGATTATTATTATTTGGCATTGTTTTCTAATTGATTGTTATCATCATTCATCTAAATTGTTATCGTTGATTAAATTATGAAAACCTTCCTTGCGTTTTAGCTATGCCTATCAGAACATTAAGTCTAGCGATAGACTGACCCCCTGTCCCTTGGTTCGAGTACATACGAATTAGCTCCCCCTTATCTAACAGTGCTCTGGACCTTGGTGACACATCTCGTGGGATCCGACAAGGATGTCCGTTATCGTCATTACTATTTGTTTTAGCTGTAGAAGTTATGGCAATCAAGATAAGGGAAAATAAAAACTTAAAAGGACTAGAAATAAAACTAGACAGTAAAAGTAATACTTTGAAAATCTGCCAATTAGCTGATGATACTACTCTATTTCTTGAAACAAAAAAGACGTATCTCTAGCAATTAATTTAATAGAAATATTTGGTACTTTCTCGGGTTTGAAATTGAATAAAACAAAAACTGAAGGGATATGGCTAGGCCGATTGAAACACTGTCGGGAAAAATTTGAAGATATAAATTTTTGTGTACTGCACCTATCAAAAGCCTTGGAATTTACTTTGGTTACAATAAACAAGAATGTCAAAAACTAAACTTTGAAAAACAACTTTTAAAAAGTAAAAAAATAATATCTGTTTTGAGTAAAAGAAATCTCACTATTATAGGAAAAATAGTTGTCACCAAATCACTTGTTTTGTGTGGAAACGATAATATCAGGTTTAACAGAAAATGCTTAAACTTTGAAGATTGGATAAAAAGTGACATTATTAATATAAATGATATCATTGATGGACAGGGTAATATCTCTGAAACTATCATTTTATCTAAACTTAAATATAAACAAAATTGGATAAAGCAAATATATATGCTAAAAAAAGCAATTCCAATTAATTGGAAAACAATTTTTCGTACAGAAAATTCTATTAAAACTAAAGTGAAAGTTGTAAATGACTTAAAAATTATGCACAAGACAATTACTCCCTTAATGAGCACAAAAGAACTCTATAAAATCTTCACACTGAAAGAAAGTTGTGATAAACCAAATGGTTTTCTTATGTGGGAAAAAATATTTGAGAAAAATTTAAATACTAAGTTGAAAAATAGCTTTGTTTTTATTTTTCAACATCTCACTGATAATAGATTGAAAATATTTAGATGGAAACTTATTCACTACATACTGCCATGTAATGAACTTTTAAAAAAGTGGAAAATTACTGAGGACAACTTATGCAAGCATTGTAAAAAAAAAGAAGACTATGAACACTTTTTCTATTATATTTCTAGTTCCATGAATAATTATATGGAAAATTGCATCGTTAGTGCTCTCATGTGTACAATTCATGCCAGATTTTTATGAAACTTATATTGTAGATTTATATCAGCGATGTCTTGGACGAGATGGAAAATCTGTGCCTGATCAATTATTTTTTTTTTTTTTTTTAACGTAACAATATCTTTATTGCATATTTGCTGTAACAATTTACTAAGTTTACAGCTTTTAACTTAGTATCCCTCATGTTAGTTTACCTAATAGTTAAGAGAAGCACTATTTGGTAAGATATAACTTCTTCATAATATTAGTATTTATAATATAATTCATTCCACAAATGTATTTGATAAATTATTGTGAATACACATACATATCTTGGTTATTTTTTCTTTTTCTTTCTCTTTTTTTATGTATGACTTAGTTTTCCGGAATCAACTCCGTTATCGATGTGATCCGTGTTCCATTTAATTTGGGCACAGTGTTGCTTTTTCAAACATGTGCGCTATTAGCTGCGGAACCGTAACTCTTATGGTCCTTTTTATATTTTTTTTTTGATTTTGCGGACCTAAGAGCTACGGTTCCGCAGCTAGTGCGCTATCGGATATAGCTTAGATATGTGTTATCTAAGTATTATTATTATCAACAGGATTTAACTTATTTGATAACATTTGGTGAGTATACACGTTTTTTTTGTGTGTGTTTTTTTAGTTATCTACTGAACTTTTCTATGTCGAAATGTATATGTAATGCACAAATCACCTGAGATTGGACCATTATTTTTCCACAATAATTAATAAACGTGCGGATACATGTATACCGTAACAATTATTTTTAACTTTTGTGAATACACACTATAGAATCTAAAAATACAGTATAATTTACATGTGGTGATTCATGCATGGCTGAACATGCTTACAAACATATGTTGGGCATACATGGTTGAACCCGATAATAAATATGACCATATTTGGCTTGTGTACAATTAACAATTTTGCACACAATGTTCTGTACTTACTATAGAAGTATTTTTTCAAAACATCTAACAAAGATTTAGTCCTAATTCATTTGATTCTTTGCGATGAATCTATTTGTTTTTAGAATTATCTGACTATTATTTTTATTATTAAAATTGTTTATTTCAATAATTTCTGAAATTTCTTTCTGAATTTTTTTTTAAATGTTTATTTTTTGTTGTCTTCTTTTCTGAGACAAAATGTGC